AAATCTAAATTAAATTGAAAAGGCCAAGGAACATACTACCACCAAATTGTAAATTAAATACTGCGTCAATAACAACACCAATTAATAAAGTCTTTCCTGGTCGGATTACGCTACTTATTGTAGCTCCCCAATTTCCTCACGATGCTGGGTTGGCACCGGTCCCATACATCGGTCGAAAGCTCATGAGAAAATTTCTTCTCCCCCGAGACTCGAACCAGCGCACATTCCGTATCGCCGGTCCGAAGCATGCCTCAGACCGCGCGGGACAAATAGTTACAGAAAGCTACGTCAATAACCCATGGGTTCTAGGGATTCAAGGTTAATCCGCAAAGCCAATCCATGTCGATAAACAAAATTCTACTACATTTCCCTTGCTATATATATATATAAACTAGACAGATCTACCAGAAACGGCATACGTCCCTCAACATTAGGGTGCTACAGAAAATGTGTAACACAGTATCATATTTCTTAGTTGATTATATCACATCTCCAATCTGAATACCACGAAATTTACTGAGTATTCCTTTTTATAATTTTTAATGAAGATCCCCTATACAGAACCCAATTAAGGTCCACGAGACAGACACGAATGGTGCGCCCACAAAGTACGTGATTACTCTACATCTCCACAAGATACATTACAAAATGGTCATCTCAAGTTGATGTGCACAGTTCATATTTAGGAAACACTTGTTTGGTGCCAAGTTTTTCTCATGCCACACCACTTCCTTCCCCATCCTTTCAAATTCACTGTACTTATCCTATTATATCTTTCAACACTAAACAACTTCTGCAGTTCACACATAATTATACAACCCCATGACTCGAGTACACAAACAAAATGTTTCTTCAAAATAAATGGGGCACCTTGAGAGCACTTCAGCCGAGTTGTTGTTGTCCGCCTCGCCCTTCTCCTTATCTTCCTCAATATCAGGGGTGAGCCAGTGCATCCACTGCTTGCTGCGCTGCTTGGCAGTTTCTGTCTTCTCAAGCACTTTCTCCATCAGGCTACGTCGCTCGGCGGGGGGCGTATCGCACTTAACATGGTATGAGCCTGTTTTCTCATTGGCTGGGGGCGTCACTGCTTCATCATACTGCTTTTCAGATGGCTCGAGTCCTTTGCTAAAACAAATGAAACGAGTTACGGAACAGACAAATGTCATGAAGCTGACATAACTGTCCTGGTTATTTGAGAGTCATTCTGCTTTATCTGCTGGCAACTGACCAACGAGTGCTGCTTAAAACATAATTTTTACTATGCAACTACACCACAAGTAAGGTTACACCGAGAAGCGAAATTTCCAGGGATTTTTGCTTTCACACATTACCTATTTAATGCCATCTGTGAAGTACTCAGGACGCCCACAACCGTGTTGGTAGCCGTGGCAAGGTGCATCAGTGTGTGCGGCACATTCGAGTTGGATACAGGATGACTTGATGTGTGCTTCCTGCGAACTGGCAGGAACAAGTTCATTGTCTGTGATATGCTGCCCAAGTCTGTAAGTCTGTGGAGAGATCATGGCATCTTCAGCTTCAAGTGATTCTTGTCTTGTCTACTTCGTTGATTAAGAAAAAGGCATATTGGAAATTGAGAAACAGATAATTGGTCAGTACCCAGGAATCACAGATATAAACAGTGCACATAATCACATACTGATATGCTTGATGAAAATGTATTAAAATACGAAGGTCTAACGGCTAGATGTCCACGTCATGTTTTATGGAAACTGGTCACTTTGTATCTACATATAGTGAAATTCAATTGGACCCAAAGATTAACAGAAACAAAAAGAATTTTTGAAGATAAAGGAATAATTATTCTTTGGAATAAAACAAAATATAAATAAACTCTCAATGAAATTGAAACCGCAAGCATTTTGTTTAGTGTCTGGTATTTAAAAAAATTACAATCCTTCAGTAAAACAGTGAGGAGCTGGGTTCATCACTGATCCAGTGATTTAGGTTAGGTTAGCTTTTCCTAACCTAACCAAGGAAAAAGATAACAAGTGTCCATATAATTAATACTTACAATGTTAGAAATGAAGGTAAGAGTGCTTAAGTACCAGAGTACAAAGGCAAGCTAAGGGCAAAGGAATGAATGTGAAGAGAACAGAAAATAAGTTTTAACTAGAAGCAATGTTGGGAAGAAATTATGTCATGGAATACAAAGGCCACCTTCAGACATGAACAAAAGGGCTGTCTTTCTGTTATAAAAGGTCTCTACTTCATAACTGGCAAGACTTAATCCACATTTTTCCACATCAATGTCCCTTCCATCTCTGATAAAGACAAAACTTTGTGAACAGGTGAATTATCAAGCATCTACCATAGTTCAGAGTGCAATTACCACCTAAAGTCTACCAGCCATCATCATCATCATATCACCATGGCAATGAAATTCTCTTCTAAGGTGCCTGTATCTCCAACATGCTCTCATCACGACTCATGTTGGCAGGGGCAGGAGCGTTAAACAGATCACAACTGGAGGAATTAAGACACATACCTGTGTTCATGGTCATCCCATCGCCCATAGCATAGGTCCAAGCCACCCAGAAATGCGTATGTCTGGTCAACTACCATAATTTTTTCATGGTGTGCCCACAGGAAGACACCCACCTTGGCGTGGTCAGGGTGTCGCAGCACCTGCAGTTATAATAGAGTAAGGAAACCACACAAAATTCACTCTGAAGAAAACAGTCCAATGCATTTTTGATCTGAACTTAAATTCAAAGTTTAAAACTAATTCAACCCTATCACGACCACAACATGAATCTCTGTCTCTCTCATATCATGATGCAGATGGGTTTCTGTCAGACAAAATAATTACATGGTGCATGTCTTACGGACTGTATCAGCGATGTAATTAAAGCAACAGATTCAATCATCTACTGGTTATGTTTTAAACTGCTAGACTTCAGCATCAGATTCCATAAATCATCGTTATGAGGAACATAAACTGTTGTATTATTTATTTATTTATCCAATTGTATTACACAACTGAAGCACTGGAAATGTTGGGCCAGTTAACAAATAACTTGATTACAACATGTGAAAAACATTGTAATAAGATGCACACAGGTGACATGCGAGTACAAACACGCATAATAAATTATCCCTTCAAGGCACTCAAAAATGGCAACAGAGAAGTGTGATCTTTTTACTGAGATGTGTAATATTGACAGAATTCTTAGCATGAAGTTTGGTATTTCTCCCTCATTACGATGCATGGAATGGCTATGGGACCCACTCAGATTAACACAAAAACCAGTCTTCTTGAAGTGACTTTACCAAACAGAAACATGTTTCATATTGTCATGGTATAAAGACTCTTACTCGATTCGACTGTTCAACCTTGAGGAAATGACAATAAGGCCAACCAGAGCAATTATAAAGCTACTTCTTTCAAATCTTCCATTGCCAGCAGAACTTAAGAACAAGTGATTCACATCTGTATAAAATCTCAATTAAACTTCTGTCTGCAGGTTTTTTTAAAGAAGTTATGATTTCACAATTTCAATCGTCTGCCTAAACTTCTGAAGCTATGATTTCACAATTTCAATCGTCTGCCACGCTTTCATGTCAGTGTGAAGAAACAGATTTATATAACACTTCAAGTTGGGAGGCGTTTAAATGTTCTCATTTGCAGTGTCCTGAGTATACCCTCACCAACCGCAGGCTGCAATTTTCTCAAAATAACTGCACTGCATTCAACTTCAAAGTCTTCCAAACATTAAAGTTTTACAGAATTCAACTGAGTAGCACATAAAATAAAAAATTCTATGCAAAAATATTCATGCAAGACCTTTCCAAACAACGCCACGTACGTAACCAGCGGGGTGCGCATAACAGTTTTAAAGGTTAATAAAACACGTAAGACCTATTTATGATTAATCTCAATACCAAAACTGATAAGTTGGCTCAGTTACTTGCTGTGCTGAGAAAATGTGGTTTTACTCAGTCTCTCCATCTAAATAATTGGCTTATGTTTTGAAACATGCCACAGCCATCTCCTTCAAATCCTTATATAAACAGCATTTAAGAGCATCGTCCCAAATGAAATGGCTTCTTTAAAAAACAAAGGATCAACAAAACCATGATTAATGCCAAATGTTCCATCAGATTAGTCGATACAGATTTTGTGGTCACAACCGCATGCTTTTTGGAGGGTCTATGATCACACAAACTCAGGGCCGTAAAATAAATCACCAGAAATGAATAGCCGTAGTGTCATGTCCACCTTTAAAACTTTATTACTGGTGACAGAGAAGTACGAACTATGGAGACAAAAGATGGTTGTCTTCTGGGTTGCACTGCCATGTATTCTGGTAGAAGTTTATCAACATTTCAGAGGTCGTTTCTGCGATAAGTGACTCGTCGCCCAGACGACGAAGGCAGCAAGGACTTCTGAGACGTTGGCAAACTACTTACCGAACCACATGGGGCTACAACTCAGAAGACAGCCATCTTCAGACTCACTGCCGTGGAAACCTCAAATCCTACAATATGGAGATAGGTTCTCACCTTGATGTTATTGTGGTGGGCGGCCACAAGGCGCTGCTTGCTGTAATAGCTGTTGATGCCCAGCGCAACCTCCACCTCCTTATACAGCAGCACAAACACCTTCACACCCGCTGCCTGCAACATACAGAAACTGTCTACCTACTCTTACAGCCGACTCCCTCGTTAAAAGAACCTAAGATTAAACTCTGTTACCAACAAATATTGTTGTTTAACCAAATCATGAGCCAATTAATTCCACTTCACATGCACACAACCCATTTCCCTATCATCAGTTTTAATATTATCCTTCCATCTAGATCTCAGTTACGCAGAGACTGCCAGCACATCAACGATAAACTCACCGCCTTCCGCTCCAGAATCTTATCAAGACGCCAGTAGTCACCATCCACACATGGCCGCTTCAAATAAATTTCAGGGCTCAGCCACCAGTCCGCAATGAAGATCTCCTCTTTGGCACCTTCTAGTGCATTTGCAATGGCAGACATGTAGCTACTGCCATCCACAAACCAGCTAGCACCTACTGACACCCGCTCAGGAGCAAATGAATTGTATCTATTCTTCTGAATGAAGCCCCGAGCTGTAACAAAACATCCCTAATTTCCTGTCAGTCTTGAACTTTGAATTCAGTCAAGAACAGATTCACGACATGAAACCAAGAGGATCAACAAAGATTCAGCGAGAGTACACATGTACTACTTGGACCAATCACAGCTTCACTGCAGAAGAGGGTTTGTAAAATCAATCAACATAACTGATTAATTAAGTAACCAAATCCATGATGAATTTCCTCAACAGCTGATACTTGCACAGCTGGTCAAAACCGTCCCCCACTTTAACAAACCCAAGAATATCACTTCCATTTTCACAAAAGGTCTGTCATGAGCCAGTTCAATCCAGTTCACAAACCATTTATTTAAGATCCACTTTAACATTATCCTCCAATTAATGTATATATAAATGAAGTGGTCTCTTCCTTTAAGATTAAGAGACCAGACATTTGTATACATTTCTCATCTCCCTCTTGCCTGCCACCTCATCCTCCCTGATTTAATCGCCCTAACAACGCTAGTCGTAAGAGTACAAATTATGAAGCTCATTATTTTGTTATTTTCTCAAACTTCCTGCTGCCTCCACTTTCACCTCAGCGCCACGTACTCGCCTCTCCTCAGTGTCCTTCCTTGAGAGTGAAAAACCAAGTTTCATCACAACCTTACAAATGAAAAAGTAAAATTATATATATTTTTTCTTATATTTAAAACTTTATGTTGTCAGACAGGCAATGGAAAGCCAAATGGTACTGAAGACACGTAACATTTATGAAAGGAGCCATTTTCACATCTCCTACAGGGCGCAAGAGTCGCTCCCTCCATACTTTCTCTGTGTATTATTACATTATGAAAATGAAAGAGTCAAGATCACTAACCCTGGTTGCTGGCAACCTCTTTGAGATACGTGATCCACTCCTTTCTCTTCCGTTTGGTCCAGCACTTGATTACAATTTGCCTGGAACACAATGGGTTGCAGCAGCAGTCACAGGTCTCAGCTAGGGAAGGGGTGGTCATGACGATAATTTTTCATGGTTCTTAGTCTACCTTTGGTGCACACAAACTGGTCCGACATTTTGTGTGAGGTATTATGTTTTCAGATCTACGGCTGTGAACTTTATTTTTTCCTATACCCTTTTGCTCCTCGCAGAGCACGGGTTCCTCCTTTCGGATGTTTCTTGGTCTATTAGACATTCGGTAGGACTCCTCGGACGAGTGATCAGCCCGTCGCAAGGCCTCTACCTGTACAATGGACAGCACAACACAACATCCATGCCTTGAGTGGGATTCAAAACCACGGTCACAGTGTCTAAGCACACGATACCTACGCCTCAGACCGTGCGGCCACTGTGATCAGCATAGCTGTGAACTACAGACGCAAAATTAACCTAATAGACATGAATTTCAAAGTAATACGTCAAAATGTTCACAGAATATTGAAGTAAACGAAATCAAAATGATGGTTTTTAATTCTGAATCTAAAGAAGGTTTACACTGAATAACTCTGATATAGAATAAACACTATCGTGATGGCTTTTATTTCAAGAACGGAAACATGAGAAATAGCAAAGATCTAGGGTTGAACGATGCCATTCCACAACATACAACTGCAGATTCGCCACTTGATTGCTTCTGATTAACATTTACGTATCACTAAATATGGTAATGGAATGGTTAGTACGTCTGCTTTATATCACGAGGTCTCGGGTTCAGAAACTCCACCTACAGACTGGCTATATTATCCGAGATATTTTCATGGTTCGAGGTACAAGATATGACATCACAAACTCTAAACTGCACTGCACGGTGGGTTTCCAGTTTGAAATCTAAACAGGCGAAGAACATTTCATGAAGCATACAGCCTTAACTTTAGTAAATCTGTCATAATTATCATAGGTCAAATTCCTCTTAAATTTTAATACAGTAAAACATTCATAAAACAAATATACTCGTGTGTTCATAAATCTTCATAATTACTTTAACTGCACTGTTAATTATTATATTAGTCAGTACTGAAATATGACTGCTTGCGTTAAGTAAAGGAGACGCAGAAACACCGAACTATGCATCTGATTCCATCTAGGTAGAACTTTTTAAACTCAGCATGCCCCCAAGACAAACACTGCAGCACTCGGCGTATCGTTAAAGGGTTAAATACAGACACATTTCCATCCGACTTGTTAGCTAATGTTTACTAATAACTTTCTTTGGATTTCTGTTCTGTGATGTTCAAAATCTTAGTTTTATTTATATTTATTTCTGGACCAGTATCTGACTTCTGCAGCTTCATTTACACACGATTTATTTACTCCAGCCAAGGGACTCTGTTCTGCACAAAGAAAATTAATAAGAAAGATGTAACGTTCTGAATATAAATACCATGCAACACCTAAAGTTCAAACAAAGTATCAGTTTAAGCCTCATCATTTAACGTGAATGATCTGAGGTTCTGAATATAAATACCAAGCAACATCTAAAGTTCAAACAAAGTATCAGTTTACGCCTCATCATTTAACGTGAATGATCTGACTCACAGATCATGAAATTGCCTGTAACCGACCCTTACAAGCAATTGAATATCCACCAGAGAATTCCTCAGTACCTGGAGAGGGTTGCGATCTGCAGTCCATGGCTCAGTCCTGTGGCATAGACGCTGGATGACACCTCAAACCCCAAGTCAAACAACAGGACGCACTTGACAAGACCATCCTTTGGATGGATATATCCCATGTAAGTGTCCTTCACGAAGAGCCACCGATGTCGCCAAGTGCCACACACGTCGCTACACAGGTAGCTACACCTGTCGAGCGATTCAATCAGAAACATGACCACAGACGGTTTTGATTGCTCAATCTTGAATATGCATGGGGAGGAAAGACTGGCAGCAGACTGCATTTTCTACATCATATAATTCAATTAATGACACCGTCTCATATAAAAAAACATGGCGGCATAAGGATCAACTCTACAGACACACACTACCACCCGAGAGTTAAACATACAGCACAAAACAAACGCAAGCCAGCCTGTGAGTCAACCAGCAACACGTAACAAGTACAAAAGACAAGACTGGAAAAGTGCAATCTACACTGGACTACGCAGAGTTTCCACATGCATTCTCATTGCTTATACATTACATAAGAAATTATACAACGAAGACGGCCGTCTCCTCGGTTGTTGCGCCACGCAGTCTGGTAGAAGTTTACCGAGGTTTCAGAGGTCCTTGCTGCCTCTATCGTCATCGCCCTCATGATGGAGGCAGCAAATACCTCTGAAACGTCGGCAAACTTCTACCAGACTGCGTGGCGCAACGACCGAGGAGACGGCCGTCTTCAGACTCACTGCCGTAAAAACCTCAAATCCTACTTAAAATACACCACATCAAACACATACAATGCAAGTCTTACTGTAAGTACTCTTCGCATACGTGCAGTAATAAATTACAGAATATGTAAAACATGAGCATATGTTTTCAACGTAAGATACACACACACATATTTCCTTATTTGGAAAAGAAACTGGAGCCATACCTTTCAGTATTGCCACAAAACTGCGTGCTCATTCGGAACATTACTTTCCTCTCTTTCGATTCATTTATCGGAAACCGAATGTTGAGAGAACAGCAAACTTTGTTTCTACACATGTTACAAAGTACAGTAATCCACAAATGCACTGTAAAGCTGATGATAAATGTCTCATAGCTGCTAACTTTTGAATTAAGTGTATTCGTATTTCTTACTCAACCAGAATTTCTATATTTACAAACCACGTGCGTGAAATCACTGTTTTAAGTACAGAAAACTTCCATTTATCCGAGTTACTGAATAATATAATGAGCAGGGATAGCTCAGTCAGTATAGTGACTAGCTACGGGCTGGACGACCGGGGTTCGATCCCCGACGGGGGCAGAGGATTTTTCCTCTAGCCTATGCGTCCCACCCAGCCTCCTATCCAGTGGGTAAAGCCGGCCGGGGCGTGATGCTGACCACTCACCCCCATCTAGTGCCGAGGTCAAGGCAGAGAGGAGCTATACCGCCACTCCCCCCAAGCGCCTACATGGCGTATAGTGGGACAAACTTTACTTTACTTTTACTGAATAATATAAAATAATATAAAAACATGGTTAATCAAAAATATTTTGTTTTGTGTGTGAAGCCTGGGGAAAGGATGCCACTGGGGAGACCTAAACAAAGATGGGAGGATAATTTATTTATTTAGTGTTCTGTCTGACGACAGGTCCATATGAACAGGATCCTTCCATCCTTTTCTCGGACTGGGACCTGTTCATATACGTTCTTGGCAGATGATCAGAAGTGGTTTGCCATTGCCTTCTTCTGTGTGTGAATGGAGTAATTGTTGGGATGCCACGGAGGAAAACTCCGTGTTGCCTAGACCACGGCCTTGCCCAACACAAGTTATAAATTCGGGCACCGCCGGGAATCGAACCCGAGACCCCCAGGATTACAAGGCCAGCGTTCTAACTGCTAGACCACCGCAATATCAGGCAGGATCTATGGGTGAAGGCAAATGGGTTTTTCTGACCCAGAACAGGGACTGTTGGAGGGTTTTGGTTAATTCAGTGATGAACCTTCAGGTTCCCTAAGCCATCTAATTAGTTGGTTATTGTGAAATGTAATAAATCTATATTCTTTTCACATAACTGTGATAGGTTATGGTGTACGTTACAAAATAATTTTTCATTTAAGGTTTTCACTTCATAACCAAATAACGTAACATTAATTTTATTTTGACTCTCAAAATTAGAAATGTCCTGTATTTTTATTGGAAAATCAATATTTTCAAAATTTGGTTCATTTTCAGTTTGTTGGTATTTTGTAACTGTTTCTCAATCTCTTTTAAGATAATGAAACGCTGATAAAATAGACCTCATGAAACATTTATCGCCTCCGTTTTTCATATTAATGCAAAACGTCTTCTTTTTTACCCACTTGGGCAGTTCTATATAAGATTTTGCGCTGAAAGGAGTATACTTGTTTAATGTTTATTCTAATAAAATTTAATATTTCAGATACTTTTCTTTCAATTCATCACATCTTGCTACAAAGAAAGCCTTTTGGTTTGTCCAAAATAATTCAAAATCATCTTGTTCTTTCGAGACTATATTTTTCAAATAAAAGTAACGAATCATTTCCCTTCCTTTATGTTTGAAATCACATTCTGATCCCAATTTAACCTTAATATTTTTATGAATATTCAATGTTTTTCTAATTAATCTTGTCGCTCCTTCTAATTACTATAACTAAATCTTCTTAATATTATGTCGATATGCAGTTAATATTCCTTCATTAGCAATTTCTACTAAAATAAAGTCACATTCTCTGTTACGTCTAACTTCAAGTATGTTTTCAGTCTTTCCTTTAATATATTCATCAATTCGTCTCTTTCCGTTCTTCAGAATGACTATTACGTCACATTCGAACGGAAATAATTTAGCTAAATTCTTATTCAGTCATCTGACGTGGCTTGTAACCCGAGAGCCTCTCATCAAAACGCGAGAGCGCTGTGAGGTAGCATATTCTGCTAATGTGCAGGAGGTCATGGAACTGAATCCTGATCAAGTCAGAATCTTCTCATTGCTTCATTCAGCCACAATATTTTGCATGCGGGCCAGTCTATAGTCACAGGAAGAGTCAGAACTACAGTCTCACATGAAAAGAAGCCAACCAAGGAGATAAATCTGCAGGCTCACACAAACACAAATTGGTCCAAATGAATGCGAGCCAATTAGAAAGTAAACGAAAGAGCGTCTCAGAAACAAGCACACAGTTTCATACAGGGAGGTGGGGGGCGGGGGGCTTTGGAGTCAAACCTACAGCGTCACAAAAGTTCAGGTGAGCTTTTAGGTTGAATTTAAGCTTGAAACAGGAATCAGACTGGGACAGAAACCCACACACACACTGACAAACACAAGCCGGGCAGAGAGTCAAATGTACATGCGCACACAAATCTGTAGAATTAAATAAATAAATAAATAATAATAAAAGCATGTGAGCGTGGTCATCACACCTACAGCCTCAGATAAACAGAACCAACCATGAGAGTGAAACCTACGGAATCACACAAAAAGAACCCAGGCTTGTTGTCGGAAGTCGTATCTTCACACAAACCGATCACGGCCCGGGAGTCAAACCTACAGCACGCCAAAGACGTGTAGCCAAAATCACACCCTCAAATGCAAACCAGTCAGAGTCAAACCTATAAAATCCCAAACATAAATCACCCTTGCAGTAAAATCCACAGCCCCACAAACACAACCCAACCTACGAGCGCAAACATAAGCAAGCCTCGTAGTCAAAGCCACACCTCACGTAACCAGACTACAGCCTAAGAATCAAATTCGGTCTCATGCAAACACAAATTTGGTGACAAAAACCTACGGAATCCAAAGTAAAAGTCAAACTTCTCGTCACCCTCATGCAAACAGAACAGTCTACGGATCAGATCCACCGACTCATGCAAACACCACCCAGTGCTGGAGTAAAACCCAGAATCCCAAACATTCAGCCTGAAGCAAACGACACAGCCGCGGAGTCACACCGCCAGCCTCGGATAAACGGAGGCTGGCCGGAGGTCAGGATCCACGCAAGTGGGGGATTGAACCGTACCTGACGCAGATATAGTGGTCAAGAAGGCCACAGAAGTTGCAGCCTGCTCTGCCTGGTTGCGTGCTGCCAGTTCTCTTCTGCACGAGCCCCTCCTTACCCTTCATGCCAAGTTCTTGTACAAACGACAGGTGACTCACCTCTAAGAAGCTCACCTGCACACATGACGCAACTCATCACACTGTTACTCCTAGTGCCATCTGCACAGACAGGCTTTCTCAGCTCTTTCTTCACGAAGAGACGCGCTGTCGCCACATAACCTCAAAACTCACAACGATCATACTTTCCGGTCACATAGATTATCGCAGTGCATGAACTGCGTCATTTTTCAGAAACTTTACAACATCTTCATATTTTTCAAAGAACTACACAATATCGGATCCCTTCACGTGCAGTCGCCAGTGATAATCACACCTCAAAAGTATGCATGTCTATACGGCAGAATTACACACAGAGGACTTAAGAAGTACGACATTTGAACGCCTCAAACTGGCACAAGGCGACGTTCAGATGTCACAGAAGTAGGACGACGATGAAACACGTTATTGCAAAACAACTGCAGACCTGAGATCAAACGCACGCCAGACATGAGGAAAGTCGCGAGACGTTCAAAAGAGAACATACGACAATCGACGTTCTGGTTAGGATTTGAGGTTTCCATGACAATGAGTCTGAAGACGGCTGTCTTCTGGGTTGTTGTGCCGTGTAGTGTGATGTTCCAGAGCTCCTTGCTGCCTCCATCATCAGTGCGATCGCTCGATCACCCTGAAGATGGAGGCAGCAAGGACCTATAAAACGTCTGTAAACTTCTACCGGACTGCACGGCAACCTTCAATTGTTTTGGTTACTTCATTAACTTTCTCCATGGTAAAAAGTTTCTGCAAGATTTTTCAAACCATCACCATTTCCTGACGAATTATAAAACCAGATTTTTCCATCACCTTTTATGTACTTGAAAGCATCGTCTTCATACGGATTAAGTCATTTGGAAGGATCAGATCAGAACTCGCTTCTTAAACATGTTATTTAGTATTCAGAGCAAAAATAATGCAAAATCGAAGGGAGAGAAGAAATCAAAATGTCAAACCTTTATATTCTTAAGATACGGGAGTTCGTGTTTTAAAATCAATTTGTGGACCGACATTACGAACGGAAATGACGCGCGACTCACACCGACGACTAATGAGAGAAGCTTAACATCAGCTGTTATGCGTATCACGCAAATATTTTGCCTGCGTTTCGTACTCACGGTCTCGTGGTGGTCGCGGTACAAATCGATCTGCAGCAAGTTCTGAAGGTACTCCTGCAGTTGCTCAATACGATGCCCAATGTTCTCGTACGGCACCAGAGCCTCGGGCATGTTGGGAAACCTGCAATTACACAACTGAGGTTAGGTTTCAGCTATCTTCTTGTCGACACAGACAGCACCCGAATCATTCAAAATCATTCGCACAAGTCAATGAATTCTATCAAACAGATGCATTCGATACAGAATCGTAGCAACTATCACTCTGAAGAAAGACAGGCACGAGGAGAGGCAAAATAAGAAGGATGAAGTGATTTACTGAGCATCTAAATGTCTATGCTGCGTCGCTAATATTATTAGCGCGTTTAAATAAAAGACGACGAAATCAGGAAAACTTGTGCAGGATTCAGGAAAAAATAGAGATTCATACACAAAACTCAACATAAAATAAGACTTAGCACACACGGACACAGATGGATAATATTAAAGTGGATCTCAAGCCTGGATCCAACTGGCTCTAAGTAGGGTTTTATTACACCAGAGTTGGGGGTTTAATTATCTGCTTGGTCATTCGGTCGGATGATCAGGCACACACATCACACACCTTGGCAAAGCTCCCCTGTGCTTGCGTTTCAACTTGGAACCACGACGATCCATCTTGAAACTGGAGCGTCGTTCGCGGTGGGCGCGGGTTGGAAACGGAATACTGAGACTCGCTCGGAACAATTTGAGCTGCTGATGCAAGTGCTGAATGTGTTTGTATCGCCTCTTGATAGTCCACGAGAAGTTTCCATGCTGCAGCTCTATCGTGTACCTGCGAACGCACATCACAAATAAAACCACGTCTACTCAGTGCGCGTGCGCGTGGGACTACGTCACGTGACAGATACATACAGGTTGGGGTTGAGGAGATGCGTGGTCACACTTCGTTCGTAGTCCGTGATCCGAACAGAAATATCCTGTCCTGGGATGAACACCCGTCTCTTCTGCGCCTTGAAACCAAGCTGTGCCTCGTGGATGGTCGAGAATGGGAGAGCCATCCCTGCGCAACAGAAAGTTTTGTTAGCCATGGTGAAAGAGCGTGGATAAAATGATGTTAAATCTTATGTCTTGTGTGTGTGGTCTTCCTCAGGTACGATAATTTGGTGAAAGCAACAGAGGGAATTCACACTTGCTAATGAATAAATCAGCGTCCTTGTAATAATAATTCTGTTAAATTAAGCCAATTAGATTAAAAGGAGGGGAAGAAACACAGAATAAACACTATAATAAATCAAAAAAATTATATAATGTTTTATCAACCAAATTATATAACTTCCTCAATAGCTGGGGTAGCTCCCGGGGTCCCCCCCCCCCGAGGGTAAAGCGCGGCCGGGGCGTGACGCTGACCACTCACCCCATCTAGTGCCGAGATCAAGAATGAGTAGGAGCTATACTGCTCTCCCCCCAAGCGCCTACATGGCGTTTAGTGGGACAGCTTCACTTTTACGCATAGTCAACGCTGTGTGAATGAGATACGAAAATACATTTGTATTGGGTATAATTAATATTCTAATATAAGGATAGTAACAAAGTTATTGTAGAATATGATTAAGGAAAACAGTTTCTGTTTGAAATACATCGAAGTTCCAGCAGACAGCGTAATAAGTAACAGTAAGAAACAAGTATTAATAAACATAACCTCACTACTTACCTGAAAGGTGCTTACTGCACGGGGATAAAATTATTAATTACTCTTCCAACCGGGATTAAAAGTTTAGATCATAATACAAAGGTACATAAGTCGGAACTAAATGATGATCTTCCACCGAAAATTACTGAACACGAAACAGCTGCAACAAACTACGTATTTGAGGGAAGCGTCGGTTTATAGTGCGATACGATCCACATCCCTGGCTCGTACTACGTTTGATCTACGCGATGTAAATATAGTATCCTGCACGAATCTGAAATTTCGACCTTGGGCTCACTGCGCTGTCGGTCTTGTCCATACTCTCCAAGCTGAAAATATCGTGCCTGTGGAGGACAGCATCATCCAGTTATACTGGTTCAATTCTTTTGACCTATCACTGGTATTTATTAGTAACATTCATGAAAGAAAAACGCATGTCATAACCCCAAGTTTTAGTAACATTAGCAGAACCCCTTCTTATTATACCCACGACGGACTGTTCAAGGTCAAGCCTTCAGATTCACTGTTCTTGGATCAAAACAAAAGAAGACTGGAGAGGCGCACTAACAGTGTCACGTCTTAAGTCATTCTTGCACCAACATTATTCAAGGCGACTGTTGTTCGTCAAGGCCATTCTTGTACAAATGTGACTCAAAACCACAAACGCGTAAAAATAACCTTAGATCGCTCTGCTCTTCTGGCATTCAAGGTCCCACTAATGCCCAACAATGTCGCTGATCAACCCACGCCAGAGAACGAAGAGAGAACACACAACAATGGGTCACGTAAATGCTTTGGTTAGTTTTCTCAGAAAGAAGGCGAGACGCGCGTTTCTTAACTGAATGGAAATAAGCATTTGCCGACAGACAAAATAATTTCTTCGCATTTCCATGAATAAATTGCGCTGAAACTTGGACAAACTTTCTACCAGACTGTGTGAATCGGGGAAATGCGTCCCAGAACTCATTCCGTCGAGGGAATTAAGAACGAGATGCCACGCAGTGCCCCACAATGAACACTCACTCGTCGCACGTTTGGAGGAGGGGGGGGGGGGGGAAAGAAGAAAAAGACATTCGCACTGCGATTGTTGAAAGACAACCGACGAACAAGGCGCGAGCTGCGTGGGCTCTTGTACAGTCACAGCGATGTTGCGAGTTTATTAATCTGTACTGAACTGCAACAATCAACAAATATTTTAATTTGGGTTGGGCCACTTTCCGATCATTCTGTAGCTTCCAGGCTACAGAAACGGTCTTCATGGGGGCTCGAACCCAATACCTTTCTCGTATCGAGGCCTTTGTTTCAATTATCTCGTCCTCGAATAAAAAAACAACAACTTTTATCTCTGCGCCCTTCTTCTGTCGTACTTAGTTTCAGAACTAGAGGAACCGCCCTCACCGGAGATCGAACTCAGGACAATTTTCCGGAATTTTTACCCTGGTCTCAAGGAATAAGCCTTAATACATAGGACATAAAAAACCAACTCCACTTGCCCGGAAAACTATCGCAGATCTCGATGTCCCACCAAACAAGATTCGCTTTCAATGTTACACCCAAGTCTTCTTCTATGTCCTCATGCATTCGCTGCTTTGAATTAACGTACGTTCAGGTCGAAATATTTGGAAAGAAACGCAATATGACATGATCTCCTTTTTGAAACAAAAACAGATTACCTAGAAAAATGAGGCTATAAGATGGACTTTTTAACATAACAGTTCATCCTGTGCAAAATTACAACAAATACGTGCACTCCGCCCACAGCACGCACATGCAATGGCATTACAGGAAAATGGACACCATTTTCCACAGTGGAAATTTCAAACACAGCTCAGAAGAAAATCAGATTTACAGGGAAAACATGCGCGATTCACACAAAGTACTTTACTCACTACACGCAAGGCAAAGCAACTAGGCTACTGAGAGAGCGTCACCTGATGCCTACTCCACTGTTTCAGGCGCACGGCTAGAACAGAAATACACACAATCGCTACACCCGGTTCTTAGACGCCAAAAACTCTCAGTTTCTTCAGTCACGGAACAAACGACTCACCACCACCTGCATCCAAAATGTCCGCCCCATCCACGGACGCATGCAGCACGTCGATCTGAGGGATGGGCAAGTCGTCATAATCCGAATCAGGGGATGCTGGCTCACCTTCGACATCCACCATCCCTGGGGCGTGACCTCTACAACCTGCAGACAGATAACACAATCACATGGGTTCGATGGGTGCATCGCACCCGGGCACAGAATTTTGAAGCATGCATCTGTCTAAGGGAGCCATGGCTCACGGGGTATTCGAAAGAGATTGATGATTATCACTGGTGTAACATCATTCTTAGTAGAAACTTTTAATCTCAAGTTATGAAAAATTACTATTAAAATTTTGCGCATGAAAAGGATAGTTTGTGAAAGATATGTGGACAATTAACTCATAATGGAAGGCACTGATTCGCCGGTCACCCGCCGGAAGAACGGGCACAACTCCCGCCCACTTCAACGGGAACAATCCCGCCACCTTCAGGTGCGCTTAAGGGCGGTATCGCACTAGGATGCCATGGCAGCGACACCAACAGCGATGCCATGGCGTCCAGCTGCCAGAAAAAGACGCCAGACAAGCTGCCAGATGGATCAACATTATGAGATCACGAAATGAAGGGCTATTAGCAAGGAGAAAATGAGATTTACCTTTATCAAAACTACATACCTGGAGTGAATTTCAATTCTGTAACAAAGAAATAAGTAAACAAAATTCTCCATACACACACTTTGCACGTCCATACCATTATTGAATTTGAAATATTTCAGTTCTTGCAAATCACATGTAATATTACATGAACAAATTTATTTAATAAAACATTATAAAAGCAGGTTTCTTCTTAATTCACGTTATTTGTGATATATAGATTGCTAAACAAAAAAACTTATAAATCAAGTTTCCATATTGGAAAGCTGCCCCACAAATAAAGCCATAGAAACACTTCTTAGCTAATTCTTTCTTTTCTACTGTAAATAAATTTCCTCCTCCAAATATTTCCACAAGTTCTACCCAGTTTCTTTTTTTCAAGTCCCGGTTTGCGTATTCAATAGCAGATAAATCCCATAGTCGGGACTGAATTTCAATTATCAATCTTTCGGTGTCGAAATTGTCCATGTTTGGAAGAAACAGAAATACACACAAGCACATTCACGCACGGACGTCAATGGACTGGCCACCCGTTGGCATCCTAGTGCGATACCGCCCTAGAACGCATTCATCACAACGGGAAGCCATTCTTTTGCAACACACACGACAAGAAAACTTTAACTTCAAGGCAATTACTGAGACCTGGAAGCCAAGAACAGCGACGACTCTCTTAACTCGTCAGCCGCCGAAGAGCTTCGACATTCAGAATTTCTCTTCAGCGAAGGTTCGAGTGCCTCGCCGTACCCACAGTTCCTCGAGATGTGCACAACTTACGTGACAGAGCAGTTCTTGCTGACTGACGCGTCCTATCAGCGTCTTCAAGAGAAACCGACAAACTTTTGTAGCTCTTACAGATAACACAAATAAATACATCGCCAGCAGCGGTGAATGCTCTGGTCTGGCTACACCTGCGTTGCCAGGTCGTTCAAACTGCAGGAACATTCTTCAGCACTGAACAGAAGCTAAAGTCCTCTCTTTTTTACGAGACTGCGAAGAACGCGGAAAATCAAATTATGTACTACAAAGAAACAGCGAAAGTTCGAGACTTTTTAATACTTTGGCCAGGACGTCAGACGAGGGTCCACTGCCATGCCGCGAGCCCGGAGCCGAATCGGAAAGCAATCCACGGGGTTCCCTTCTGTGAGTGTCTTGAGTGCAAGGCGTAATCATTACTACCATTTAAATTAAGTTAACTTAAAGCAACGTAACCTCAATGTGGAACTGCGAAAAGATAAGCAACCATATTTATCGTTTAGCCTGGCAGAAATTTTAAGAAGGTCCGAGAAGACACCATCTGAATTGCCACAGGTGCAAAGTCACTCTTCGATAATCCCAATTGCTTCAGGTGCAAAGTCACTCTTCGATAATCCTGTACTTCGACGTCGAAGTTCCAAAATACGCAAGCGGCTTCAGTCAGTGGGCGTCTAAAAGACGACAGTGACCTTTTCCAGGGCTTGAAAGAATTTGGATGCCAAGTACTTGCAGACCTGTCAGGCGAATTCCAAATTTGTCCACGTTCCTGGCACAAAGCTTGTGGAAATGTTGCGTGTGTGTTTTACCTTCGAAGGTTAATCAAGTCATTCTTGAGGGGAACAGTAATCTTTCAGAAATTTAACAAATCCGTCGCCTTCTGTGTGACCACGAGGCCCCGCTGGTTCCCATCCGGAACAAGAGGCAGTACACGCCTTTACAACCGCGAGAGGTTCTCTCCTAACCGGAAAACATCAGGTTTAAAAGGTTCCGAAGGGGCCTCGCCCCGTTCATCTGTCGCAATCTGCAATGTCCAGGTTCAAGTCGTCCCATGTTCCACAACGTTGCGCGTGTATCTGGAGCCAAAGAAGGAAAGTTTCCACAATTTTGCCTTTTTATGGGGGGGGGGATTTCCCTGCGATACTTAGAAAAAAACACAACACTAAACCAAGGCGGCGGAGATGCCGTTCATATTGCTTTACGAAGCATCACACCACGAAGACACATACAGGGGAATGGGAGTCTACCCCATTTGGGCTGCTTTACCATCGAGAAAAAACACCACTATCGAATCTCTTCGAAGATTAAGGCGCCATAGAGCCAGTCTAGACGATGTGGCGGAGTTAAACACTGTCTCCTGCCTAGAAACGAACCCCGGTCGTACAGCTCTCATTCGTGACTGATTACCCAACACAAAATTTCTTACAAATTAGTAAAAACGACTTGGGTGTGTTTGCGGTATGCCAACCACGCCCGTTAAAAGTTGAACTGCGTTCACGTGGCACTCCTGGAAAACATGGACGTCGTTCTGGAATACTTCAGTGCGATAAGAGGTATCAAGCCGACAAACAACGAGACTTTTGCTTCCGAAGGGCAGAACCTACTCGTCGGATGACGACACCTGCTGAGAAAGCGCAAATAGAAGACCAAGGTAACGAAAAAGAATGTGAACTCACCGGTTGCAAACGTCGCACTCGACTGATAAGCAACCAGCAGCGGGACTCCCAGAAGCCTATCGTCTTATCTCGACACTTCCAAGGCTAAGGACGGCGAACTTCACTCTCTCTTCGGAATGACTGGCACAGGTCGCCTTAATTCCGTAGATTAGGGCTGGATGCTGACAACTAATCTAATCTTAATTCATCCAATTAATCTGCCACTCTTTTAACAACAAAATTGAACAGAATGTCCTTCAAAAATGTGGCCCTCACACTCGGCGGGGCAAGCATGATACTTAATGGCCAAGTGCCGATATTTTCGACGCCCCTACCACAGTCTTCCATTACAAACACCGACGCTACGCGGCGCTGAACGACCAAAAGTTTAAATTCGTAAACAGGGCTTTACAAACTATTCCTGCACATGTGTTTATGCTGACCAGGGGCTGTTGCTTCTGGTAAGAGGATGGTCGCATCAAGCGATTTGTCCTTTGCAAAGAGAAATTTGGTTGGATGGATTTTCTGGCAGCAGAAACCAGAAGGGTACGGATCGTTTTGGCTGAAGGCCTCAATGATTGAGGGAGGCCAAGCGGGCACCACCCACGTTCAATTGTACCCAAGCACCGGCCTTGAAATGGCACGGGCAAACTCAGTCCCGGTATCCGAGCAATGTCAGCGTTTAATAGAGGGGCCTCGACTGTCCTCCTCCTCCTCCTCCTCGGTTCACCTTGCGTCTTCAGAAAGCCTCTGGTAAGCACAAGTGCCTGACAAATTGCATCAGACAACTTGAGTTAAAGCTCTCAGGCGTTGTTCTGATGCAGTCGATAGGAAAATGGAATCCCCAAATCCACACGCCATTAACGTGTCATTAACGTCCTTTGGTGAAACGTCGATTGCAACACTTGAAGCTTCAAGACATGGCTGCGAGTAGCGAACTCCCAGATCGGGGCATGCAGAGCCCATCGTAGGAAGACAACGCTTAATAGGGCAAGAGGTTAATAACGGACTCACGGATAAATTGAACAACAAATTTGCCAGATGACGGCGGCGACAGAGTCTCTCTAGTCGCAGCCTTCAGCAACAAAATTCAATGTAATTTGATTGGTCTAACAGACACACAGGAGGGGAAGGAAACCCAGCTGTCCCATGTCGTAGATTTACGGCATGTAAAAGAACCTTACGAGACGTTTCGTGAGCAAAATTCAGCGGCCATTTCTCAGCCAAGTCTCTCCTGATTCACTCCTAGATGGCTCTGGCAGACAAAATCAGGATTGAGGGAATTTTAGACGAGCCTGGCCTCGTGCACGGACACTCGGCACGGGAACGGAAGTCCACAAATTGATCAATGAGGGGACAGCGAATCAGAGCCGACATCTGGAAGTCAGATCACTGCTACGCAATTTGGAAGTCAAGTGACAAATTGATCATGGAGACAATCCCAACAATTTAGAGGTCAGACAATTGTTCGCCTCAGGAATGTTACAATTCGACGGATCACTAATGCATGGAATGAACTGCCGTTTCAATGAAACTCATGCAGACTTTAATAATAAAAACGAAATTACGGAGTGGAGCGACAGATCAGTTGTTACCGAATATTGTGGACGAGAATTCCTTCTTCGTATTCGGAAAGTCCCGGTCTAGGAATGGGCTAGGCTAGACTAGAGGTACGAGGTGCGATCGGAAAGTTTGAAGACTGTGTCAATAGAGGGCGAACCGGATGTAGTACGAGCTTCTGCCGCTAGGGGGTGCGGCCTACATTCATAGTGAATCAGTGTGCCAGCCGGCATCATCGAATTAGCATTTGTTTCTTAGTTACGGGCGTTTTGGTAGTGCATTACACCGACCCTCCTGCGATTTCGGAATGGCGTGTGCATCAAATGTTGCCAAAGACTCGCCAAAACGGCTAAGGAAACCTATGAAATGCTAAAGCAAGCATTTGGGGAGTCCGCAAACTTTGGTGTGGCATTCACGTTTTAAAAATGGCCGAACCGCTGTCGATGATGACAAGCGTTCTGGACGACCATCTTCGAGCACAACGCCCGAAAATGTTACGAAGATCGACGTCGTACCATCAACGACTTGTGCGACATTGTTGG